GTGAAAAGCTAATGTGGATATGTTTAAATCAATGTACCAGAAATGTGTAATAAATGTGTTCTGCCCATGTGTGGACACGGACTGATGTTATCTCATAGAATCTCCATGATGAGATTTTCTAAAATAAGTCCTGTGGCTTAAGAAATAATGTCAACATCTAGGATTTGTCTGTTTTTAGTCCGTTGCAGCCGAGCTCGGTGTGTGTGTTGCAGACTAAAATACTGCTGCTTGCTCCAAATCTTTTGTAAAGCCTGTGTTTGATTTTTCTTTTTCGCTCACCCACACCCACTCGACCAGAACAGCACTCGACGCATAGTCACTGGTGAACAGACAAAGCCGTCCTAAGGTGGTCAAATGAAGGTGTGCGAATTTGTGAGTGTGTGCATAATGTGCAGTGCATGCTATACCATGTATATTCAATTTACAGCTCTCACACCCACGCACATGGGATGCAGCAGATGCAGAGACATCAGCACAAAGCAGTAGTGTTGTTCCTAGATGTTGGAAAGCTGCAGTAGAGCTGAGAGAGACATAGTCCTCTTTCCTTTTTGTGTGTGTGTGTGTGTGTGTGTGTGTGTGTTGTTGTGTGTGTGTGTGTGTGTGTGTGTGTGTGTGTGTGTGTAGTCCTGCACTGTCTGCAATGCCCAGGCCATTGCAGGAAAAAGGAAAGAAAATGGGCCATCACAGTGAAGGTAACAGCCATGCCTTGAGGTTGACCACAGGATCTGTGTGTGTCCACAGTTGGTTAGGCAGCTGGTGTGTGTGTTGTGTAGCTCCAGGCTGCCTTGGCTCAATCCCTTTCCTTTGTACGCCTGAAAGAGGCCAGTTTCCAAGATGAATTTAGTGAAAGATTGAGACCCACGCTACATTTTGGTTAGCCTTGTGACTGCCTGATTCATACAGTATCTTTCCAGGGCGCTGATAAAACGGCTAACACCTTACTCGTGCCAATTTTGAGGTTTTGATAATACTTTAACCTCTGCTATGTCTATGCAAATTTCCTCTCTGCCGAGATTGGATTGCCACGCGCTACCTGAAAGGACAGTTCATAAACCTAGATAAGCCAAGCCAACAGATTTCATTCCAATGCACCATTATATTTATGTGTGTATTTGCATGCAGGTTGGCCATGATGCTGATAATCCCCATCTTTTGTTCATGGAAAGCTTTGACAGGCATTGCAGAGGGAAGCTGGGGTTAGCAGGGAGGTTTGTGCATGAGGCCTTAAACGGCAACCCGTGCCTGCATGTAAAGCATGATGGAAGAATTGTAGGACATGAGCAGACAGTGTAAACAAAGCAGGCCCTACACACACACACACACACACACACACACACACACACACACACACACACACACACACACACACACACACACATAACCAGCTAGACTGACAGTTCAACAACCTGAGCTCAACCAAAACTGCTGCACTAAGACCATCAGGTGTTGTGTCACAAGCTGACATCAGTTGTGTTATGTAAAGGCTTATGAAAGATAGCCTGGCAACGGAGGATACAGGTGAAGTGTTTGGTGTCTTTATATGATGGATAGCTGTTGCTATTTACATGCTGTTTTCATTTAACTAATTTCTACATAATTTGGCTATTCAGACCAAGTTTTAATTTTATGCTCATTGTTGTCGGGTACCCCTGATTGAAACTTCTAGCTCTGTTCCAAGAAACACATTGGCTCCACAAAAGACCAGTGTTGGTGTGTGGGCTGTGTAGTGTACCTTGCACTGTTGCATTGGGGCATAATCTGGGCTCTCTTGTCTTTTTCTCTCTCTCACACTCATAGCTACCTGGAACAGAAAGCGTTATCAAACCCAAGTAGTGTGTGAGCTATTAAAAGGTGACCTCCTTTTTCTAGGTCATTACCAAAAAAGAATGGATGGATTCTAGTTATGAATATCCAAAATTCTTGACAGAGAGGGATGAGAATGGAGAGGCATATTTCTAGCCTAAGGGAGGTTAGGGGGGGTTGTGACGAAGGGGAGGAGGGGAGGGGAAAGAGCGTGTGTATTTGTGGGGGAGAGCTGGTGAGGGCATGCAAATGGTTGTGGCTGATGCTGGTACAATCTGGAGAGGAAAAAGGGAAGACAGAGGATTGTAGTGTGTTGTCTGGTGAAAGAGGGACACGACAGTTAAGAGAACACAGTGGAGGGAGATCTTGTGACGGGGTCACGAGAAATAAATCAGACATCAAGCTGGAGAGTGATCCTCTTGCTCCTTTGCTGAAACAGTCTGCAGTCAGTACTAGGACACTACAGCCTAATACAAAGAACACACTCTCTTAACTTGACTCCTTTTGTTAGCTAGACAATCACAGTTTTTATTAGACCGACTACCTTGTAGGTACCAGTCTGCAGCAGGCCGCAAATGCATTGATTCGTCCAGGAGAAACTATATAAGACTTTCTTTCTTTATTTTTATTTTTTTATTGAATCATGAGTCTATTTAGTCTCTGTTCTCCAAAAGTGGACATTTTGTTGGAAGGGAAGATGGAGGAGGGTCATTTCCCCTTATGGACACAGTGTTGAAACCAAAATTTTCTATCTGAGATTAAGGCATTTCTTCTTGCATCAGTGGCGCAGCTGCTATCTCTCCCCCAACATTTTTACAGTCCTTGGTGTTAGGAACCCCCTGGTACTGACCTCAGACCAGCCCCCCCCAAAGACTTTGTGGAGCCAAGGCCCTTCTTCTCTGTGGTACGCCAAAAGATGAAGAGCACAGAGCAAGCCTGAGGGGCTCACAGTTATATTTACTGTCTGCTACGAAAGAGAGGAGAGAGAGAGAGAGAGAAGGGGCGGATGGGAGGGGTTTTTAAAAAAAAAAAAGAAGGAAAAAAAAAAAAACACAGGAACGAAAAAGAGAGGGAGACAGAGGAGGGGTTGCTATGGTAACGGAAATATGGCTGCTCTTCAAAAACCTTGAATGTAGGTGGTGGTGAGATGAGTGTATGTGTGTGTGTGTGTGTGTGTGTGTGTGTTTTTTTTTCCTCCTCGTCTTTCCCTTTCAGTTTTGCAGATATTATGGATGTGCTGGATCCCTTTTGATTTCACTGAGGACTGAAATGCCATCAGCTTTTCTTTCTTTCTCTCTTTTTTTTTTTTTTTTTTTTTGGTGTGGCCTGAGGGTGGTGTTTCTGGGCATGTTGAACATAGGGAGGCTAGTGTGAAATGTGGGTTAGGCCCAGCAAGACCCCCCAGCAAGTGGGGGTTTATTTGGCAATCATTGTAGGTCTTGAAAAGCTTAAAAAAACGTGCATGTTACTCAATGCAGAGATTGTGATTTTCTTTCACTGAAATCAAGGATGTTTGGGTGAATAGAAGCTGAACGAATGTTAAAAGTGTATATCTTTAATCCAAAGCCTTTTCTTGGGCTCCTTACCATATGTGTACATCTGAAAACGTGACGCCACTTGAAATATTGCGATGATCTTACAGCCAGATATGGACTCGGTAGGGCAGAGGAGGATCACTGAAGGAATGCAGCTTTTTGACAACGACCCCTGCTGTCACCTTTTGGCAGAGGGAGTTTAGTGTTAGATCCTGAATGTAGGGCAAGTTGTCTTAATCATCTTCATTAAATTAACTTGTATCCCCCCCCCCACCCCCCCACCCCACTTATCTCTCCTCTTCTCCCTGGAAACATTTTTGATTCGTTCTCTTTCCAAACTGTGTGATAACATCCTGACGCAGGACAAAGACGCTTTGACATATTAGCAGTCGTAACCAGTTTAGTTAATCCACTTGGAATTTCAGTAGATAGATTTCATAACATGTGAAGCTTACTTAGATGGACATCCCATGTTAATCGAGTTTTGAGAGAAGTATTACTTTGGCTTCATTTGCAGCAAAACCTTGGCCACAGTTTGGCGCATTTGCCTTGCTTATTGATTAACAGAAATTAATGAACACTAATTAACAGATACACAGTCTGCAGCATGTTCTTGGATCTCTTCATCTGCCATCAAGTTTTTTGGTCATTTTTGCCTTTCATGGGGCATCTGTCTCGTATCACAGATTTGGCTTGTTGTCATCATCTTGGCACAAATGAGGAGCCTGATTTTAAAATGATTTCTCCGCTAATTGGAGGGGACGGGGACTGGTGCCTAATAGGAAGTGGGTAATGTGAATAAAATCCTTATCACAGTATACGTCATTTTAATTATAATAAATGTTCTAGAAAATCTGTTAAACATTAAACAACCAGAAAGGTATGCCAGTTTTTAGTTAATCCAGCAAATGACCTAACATGTCATGGTACTATATCACACAGATGTTATGGGGATGGATGTAAACGGTACAATGGTAAAATCTCTGCCAGTTATCCCATCATATTCCATGAGATAACAGAAATGTGTCATCACCTAACCTGTCCTAGGGTTGTGGCCTTAACTGTTGTCTATTATAGATATCAAATAGTTTTATCATTAGAAGGTATACTTGTGCTATACATACTGTTTTTGGTGTGTAACCTTTGACGTACAAAAGTATTGCACTGCTTTGTCTGTTCATACGTATAAACACACAGAGTTGCCAAAATACATTGAAGAGCTGTAGAACATCACCTGTACTGCAGAGTTGACTGCAATTGGAAAGTGGCCAAGTACTTGACAGTATAGGTTTATGAAGACTGGCATTTTTCTCAGATGTTTTTTTTCTCTGAACTCGATCTAATTGTGTGAGGCTTTAAAGTCTCAGACCACTCCTTTTGCTTACTCTCCTACCATGTTTTATCATTGATGAATGAATTTAATGTTGTACTGAGTGTAGACTGTATTAGGCATGTAATAATGAAAATTGCCATCTTACCAGAATGGTTTGAAACACTCATATGCAACGTTCCACCCCTTGTCCACTGTTTCTTGGTCTTTTTAATCTAACACAGCTTGTTTTGTTTTTTTTGTTGTTTTTTTTGCATGTGATAATGACAATGCCCACAAAGTAACATTGCTACACTCTGTCTCTAACTCTATGCCTCCCTTGTCTGCTTCAGGTACGGGAGAAAGTGGCAAGAGCACCTTCATCAAGCAGATGAGGATCATTCATGGCGCTGGGTACTCAGACGAAGATAAGAGAGGCTTCATCCGACTTGTTTACCAAAACATCTTCACCTCCATGCAGTCCATGATCCGCGCCACCGAGACCCTTAAGATCCCCTACAAATTTGAACAGAATCGGGTAAGGACTGACCCACAGAAGTAAAGGCATGAAATATTCTTTATGTCCTGCTAGTTGTTCGTTCCAGGGTCCCCGTTTGACTATTTTAACTGTGTGATGGCTGCATCTGGTATCTGCTGCATTATATGGTATGGTATGCAATAGGATTATTTTAAGCAAGCCCCAGGACACAAGCCATTGCCAAACGCTTTCAGATTTTGACTGTTGGTCTGTATTTGTACATAGATATGCTTTTAATACATTCAAATGACAGAAAGTGAACTAGTTAGCGGTGGTGTGGGCACAATACGACTGCATAATTATAGTCTATTGTTATTGCTATAATAGTATGCTACATTGGTTCTCAATTCCAGTCCTCCGAGCTCTGTTGGTCTTTTATTGTGAACCTCTAATTGAGGACTGATTTATACCTGGGATGCAAGGTGAATGTAGTCCACTACTCAGTTGGACAAAAATCCACCCATACACTCCCTCATAGGGACCAGTATTTAGAATTACTGGTCTACAATATGAATGAACAGCATAGTCACCTCAATGTTAAGACTTAAAAGAGCAAACAGATGTCATGTTCCATAGCAATGCTAGTCACTGTCTGCATCCACAGATAATTTAGTGACACAGATATTTGGATAGAAAAACAATCACTTATTTCATTCTGTCAAAGAAACATGTTGAATTGTTGTATGTAATTCATCACTTAAAAACCCACACAAAATCCAAAAATGGGGGACTGTAGTGGGACATAAGTTATGATTTTGGTTATTGCATTGGATCATTGGTTACCTTTTGAAAAACTTAAGTTCTAAAGTTGATAAATAGTCTTAATTTATGTCCCATGCAGCTATTATCAAGTTACAGCTATGCAAACCTTGAGTAATTGGGGATGGTATGAACATCTTACATTGTCTAATGTTTTGGTATTGTCAATCATTTCTTCTAAAGGCAGGCTTGATATATGGGCACAAATTCTTCATTTTCATAGAAATAAATCTCTCTTTTGTTGCACATTTGTCAACTTACAACCTGTTCATAAGTTGTTTTTCACAGTTAGACCAATAGTGTGTTTTATGTCTTTCCTGGGGAAAAAAATAAACAATCAGGACAAAAATCCTCAGGTGCATAAGAAAGATGCATTTAGTTTGTCTAGTAGAAACATTATCTTTGGAATAAGTAGAATATGTGGGTGGTTAGGATCAGCCACCAGGTCCAAACACACAGTGAAGAAAGTTACTGACAGATAACTCAAATATCTTTGGCTGAATATTTGTAGAAAATAAGTATATAACTCGATAAATCTTGTTGTCCATTTCTGTTTGGCCCAGCGCTGTTTCTCACTGCTCTTTATTTCACCTTTTTCCCCTCCTGCCTGTGTCTTTACAGTCTAATGCCATGCTTGTGAAGGAGGTGGACATCGAGAAGATCAATGGGTTTGACCAACCTTACATCACAGCTATCAAATGCCTGTGGTCCGACCCAGGGATCCAGGAGGCCTATGACCGCCGCAGAGAGTACCAGCTCTCTGACTCCACTAAATAGTACGTCTGCATGTCTCTGTGTATGTTTTTGTCTCTACGTGTAGACATCACGTATGATGTGTCTAGGATTTAAGAATGGTATTTGTGTGGCTGTCTGTGACACAATGTGTGAGTGTGCTTATGTAATTTTTGTGAGTGTAGGTCTGTGATGGTTGTTTGGGAACTGATGGAGATATATCAGTGTTGTTAATATAACTAATGATTCTTAACATTCTAGTGCTGTTCTCTTGATTGGATCATTTTTGTAGCTATCAGCTTTTGTAGACATTTCTGATTTTAATGATTTCATTGGTATCTTTAACTTCTTGTGTGGCAGGAAGACAGAGTAATTAGGGTGTGTTTGGATGTGTGGTTGGTGGAAGGTTATGTGCGTGTATGTTCTGTTTGTAATTGCCTTGTGGGGTTAGTAATGTTTGCAGGGCAGGGCAGCACATTAGCCTTTTGTTCACATGCAATATTAACAATCTCATAAGAAATCTCCAAGCCACAGGTACAAGAGTCACTATTTAACGTTTAATTGTTTATTTGCCACCATGGACATTAATCTATAGTATACAATAATTGTTAGACAATTTGGTAGTTAGCATTGGGGTTCCTTACCACTATTTCTATTCTATATGCACGCATTTTAGCTTTACATAAGCTTTGTGTTTAATGTCTAAATGTTAGAGCTACAGCTAACCACAGATTAACATTGCGTTTGCACCTAGATGTTTGTAGATACATGTGCCCTGTCCTGTTCTGTGGTTGTGTGTGTTTGCCACAATTACATTGTAATAATATGTGACCCCAGGCTAAATGGCCAATGGCACCTGACTCACTTTCTAGTGCCCCCTGGCTGTGGACTTGCTGTACTACAGTTTAAAACTGCTTCAAATCCGTATGCATGCAGGTCTGTTTGCACTATTAGGAACATGTATGGTAAATTTGTAAGCTATTTGTTTTTGTATGAGTTAGTGAGAAATATATAAGAAAATCACTGAATATGTCTGTTCGACACTGTTGTGATGTATATCTCCAGTTACCTTAGCGATATAGACCGTGTGACTGCAGAGGGATACGTTCCCACCCAGCAGGATGTGCTGAGGGTCCGTGTTCCCACCACGGGTATAATAGAGTACCCGTTTGACCTGGAGAACGTCATCTTCAGGTACCCCTGTGGCACCAGGACTACAGCATCACCGTAGCTAGAGGACAGAAACCACTGATGGCTGTCAGGATATTAACACATCATTTAAGCTGGGGCTAGGTTTTTGTGAATTGGTCAATCAAAAATGGACAGAAAATAGTAAAATTGACTAGATGATTTGTACACATGGGTTACCATCTTAGTAACCTTTCAATGTCAATGTCAGTGCAATTATGACAATATTACAAGCTTGCAGATGCCCTCACATTACTATAGTGAAAACACATTACTTAGCAAGAGCCCATTTGTCTGAACAGACCCAGTTGTCCTGCAGAGCAAAATAAAGATTTTGATGTGTTTAGATCAAATGAGCCTGAGGGCCCCATTGGTTAACCTGATTAGATATCAGTGGTTTGGGTTCACAATTGTGCTGAGGTTCTGGCTCCAGGATAAAAACGAAGGCCAGACATGCTGCACTGAAGCATGTGGGGAGCAGCCAGCAAATGCCAGATGAAGAAGGATTGACAGTGATGTCAAAGATTCTCCAGGAAGTTGTTATACAATTAGTCAGGCAATTGGGCACAGTTTAAACACAGACGAACTGAAAACTTTTTAATTGAATTGCAAATTGAAACGGCTCATGTGCATACCATTGGCAAAATTGTAAGAAATATGTTTCCTAGTTGTCCGAACCTTCTTTATCTAATCCAGGTGCTGCTGTCTCTGCTGCTAAAGTCACTGCTACTACTGTCACTGATACCACCTCACTGTCTGCAACATTATCCACAATCTACTTGACCTCACTGCAAATTGTTGTCAGTTAAAAAGAGAATCAAGTAAACTCAAAGCAACAGTTGCAAGCTAATATCAAATGTCTCATATGGTTTATGGATGGAGAGTGTTGGTGGAGCAGTGACACTGACTAACACCCTTTTGTTTCTGAGATGTGGCCTTTTCTGTGAAGCTTCCTCAACAGGACTGATCCACACTTCCTGGAATGGCAGGGGGGTTGCGGTAAATGCCTGTCACGCTTTATATAACTGTTTTCCTGTCTTTTTTTTTTTTTCTCTTTATCTTTCTTTTTTCCCCCGACCGGCCTGCCTGTAGTTATCTTACCGATCTGGATCGTATTGCAGATTCCAACTATCTTCCCACTCAGCAGGATGTGCTCAGGGTGCGCATCCCCACTACAGGAATCATAGAGTATCCATTCGACTTGCAAAGCATCATTTTCAGGTAGAAAGATGCCTGTTTTGGCTCAGTCCCTTCTTGTTATGTTATGGCATTAACCCATTCGCCATCTGCTGTGTTTTTGTCCGAAGCCCCAAATAAACCATGTTACCCCCCCCTTGTTACTTGTGACTTAATTTATGCATTTTAAACTTGACCAATCATAGAAATCATAGCAGTCATTACCGTTTTATATTCTCCTCATAGTCCTACACTTTCTTTTACCTCCTGCCACCAGCAGCAATCGTACCACACATAACACAACCCCCTAATGAACACAAAGTCCTACATTCTGGTGCCCGGTCTCTGTAAATGGGTCACCTCCTCTCTTCCTCCTCCTCTCCTCCTTTCCTCCTCGGCTGGCAGAAGAAACGAGGTCGTCCTCTCCGCGGTGGAGGAATGTTATTTTGGGCAGCAGGTCCTGCAGGGCCTATATTGGCCCTGGGTCTCTATGGACCACAGTGGACTGGGCCACCACCAGGGGGCAGCCTTGCATTGAGAATTACACTAGATTTGTGCAGCTTTCTCAGAGACCATGTTGCACCTGGTCTGGAAGCGTGCACCTGTGCATCCAGAGGTGCAACAAAGTACAAAAAGTCAGGAATTAAATTGTACTGATGCCAATTATATAATGGCTTGACATCAAAGGTTCCTGACAGGAAAGATTTTAAGGAATCAGTTGTCACAAATGAAGGCTTAATGAAACTGGGACCTAAACTCCCTGACGAGTGAAGGGTGACCTTGTCAAGGAGAATCTCAGGAAAGAAGAAACCTTTAGAGGATCCACACCTATCACTCAGTATTAAAGCCAGGATTGCTGTTTATGAATGGCTTCAGCAAAAGCCAGCCCCTCTGCCTGTAGGCCTGTGTGCTGAAATCAAAGTTTTCATACCAATTGTTGCTTAGTTAGTTGTGTTTGTTAATAATTAATAATTAATTAATCTCTTAGAAATATATATCATACGTATTGAGATGCAATTTCTCAGCTTGTAGCTTCTCATTAGGTTACATAGGAGGAGTCCTTCTACCATGAAAAGGATCAAACCATCACAGGTGCCCCCTGTATCTTTCATCAACATTTCAACTCAGCCTCTTGTCCTCTGTCTGTCCTCTATCTTGTGTTATTCATTTCATATTACTCCCCATTTGTCTTGTCCAAGTGCCTTTCCAAACTTCAGTTGTTTTTCTGTTGTGCTTTATCACACACACCCACTAGGGAAGGTTGTGAAAGCCTTTCAGTAGAGAAATGAATGTGTTATTACCCTTCACTTTCACCATATCACATAGAAGTACAGACTGATCTATTATCAGATGTAATGTTGACTCCTTGTATGACCAGATGAATGCCACTCAATTAAGGAATTCCAGTGAGACATTTCCTTCAAGAATATCTCTTTTTGATTTTGCCACAACTTCTATCAACCCAAAGTTGAGCCACACCTGTAATTCTTGTTGTATGTGTATTGTTTGAGAAAAATTGGTTGTTTTATACATACATAGTGCTCTGAAGTAGGAGGCAGGAGAGAAGGCATGCTAATCAAACTGGCATTAATGGTGGTGGTGTTGGTGGTTGTGGTGGTGGCGGCATTTGTTTAAAAACTGATTCTAGATCTGTCTTAAATGGGAAGCTTTCATCTTTGTGGTGGCATGCATGACTCACTCGCTTACAAGGACAAAAGCATATTCACACTGCACATTCAGTTTTTAGTTTCTGTTTTCCCCCCCGAGACCCTTAAAACTCATGGCCAAGAAGTTGTGAATTTGATTAATCCTCTTCTTTAGGTGTTGAATCCATCAGGTGTTAATAGTTTTTCTCAAACAAGTTTAACTTAAAATCAAGTTAAAAGTACTCCAGAATATTTTATCTTTTTTTTAGGACCCAAAATGACAATAAAAATACGCTGTCATGGGTCCCGCGATGAGAGACTATATCTTTATTTGGGTCGTGTGCTGAAAATGGTTAAGGACGAAGTACAGCAGAGAGATGTCTTTAGGATAAATCTGTCTTTCCTCTATTACAGAGTTCTTCTGCTATATACGTGTTTTTTGCACAAAGCAGGCCATAATTCAGTATATTTGCAATGCAATGGAATAAACTCGGTCCACTACTTGGTGCCACCAGTAAATATATCTTGATGGATTCAAAACCTTCTTTTTAAAAAAGAAACAGCACTGTCCTTAGAGCTATTCCAGGATATTGAGAATTTGAACTTCTGCCCTGTTAAATGCTGAGCACTGTTAGTCACTGATCTTGAAATAGATCACTAAACATGAACTAGGCCACCAAGAGATGTATGCTAATACGTTTTTCCCCTCCTTGCTTCTGTACTTGTTATCCCCCCTGCCCCCCTTTTCACCTTCATCCTGCCATCAGGATGGTGGATGTAGGGGGTCAGAGGTCCGAGAGGAGGAAGTGGATTCACTGCTTTGAGAATGTCACCTCCATTATGTTTCTCGTGGCGCTGAGTGAGTACGACCAGGTCCTGGTGGAGTCAGACAACGAGGTAAGTCATTCATTAAAAAGAAATGCATGCATACTATGTTGCCTAAACACATGTATCTTCACCCCCCCCCCACAAAAGCTATATTGCAGTTGTGCCCTTTATGTGTAGTGAGATGCATCAAGAATTGAAACAACATGACTCTTCTCACACTTCTATCCCTTGCTTTTTGCACCAGAATCGTATGGAGGAGAGTAAAGCTCTATTCCGGACCATCATTACCTACCCCTGGTTTCAGAACTCCTCCGTCATCCTCTTCCTCAACAAGAAGGACCTGCTAGAGGAGAAGATCTCCTACTCACACTTGGTGGACTATTTCCCTGAGTTTGATGGTGAGATCATCTATACGAATGTGGAAGTCACCCTCTGATAAATTAATATAGCTTCTGTGAATGTATTATTCAGTGTTAAAACGGTCTGAAATTGATCCAGTTCACCTATTTCCAGTCTTTATGTTAAGCTAAGCAGATGTAGAGGGTAAAAGATAGATTTACAGTACAATTTATTGATTTCTAAGGCAGGCTTTAGACATTTCTATTCAGTGTTTTACTAAACCCAATGTAATGTTTTAAGATCAAATATCTTTATTTGGGGGCTTTTTCAAGCAAGTCTCCATATATGTGATTGTTTGGAATTAAAGCAGCAATCACGTCTGCCACCCTTTAAAGTCTCCATGCCACCCTGTTACCACCCCATGAATATTACTCTAGGTCTGCCCCTGTCTAAGCCTCCCTTTTAAAGCTCCATACTGAATGCACAGCATATCAGTTGTCTCATTTGACTCTCAAAAAAAAAACTAAGCATCTGTTGTTGTTCAACCCCTTTTTTAAATAACACTTTATATGGTGGAAATAAATCAACGTTTGCATGTGCTTGTTTTTGTTTTGTTTCTTTTATATCTCAGGTCCCCAGAGAGATGCACAGGCAGCGCGGGAGTTCATCCTCAAGATGTTTGTGGACTTAAACCCAGACAGCGACAAGATCATCTACTCTCACTTCACTTGTGCCACGGACACTGAGAACATCCGCTTTGTGTTTGCAGCTGTCAAAGACACCATCCTACAGCTCAATCTCAAAGAGTACAATCTGGTGTGAGGGCTCATGTACGACGCACATCTCCTCCCCATTGCACAAATGCACATCTCCTTTGGGAGTGTGCACTCAACTCCACATGCATTACACAGCACACCATGCCGGCTCTCTCTCTCTCACTCACACACACACACACACAGCACACACACACACACACACACACACACACACACACACACTCCAACAGAACTCTTCCTTATTTTTCCAGTACAGTACATTCACCAATGCTCCCACCTGCAAACGCCGCCCCTCTTCTTTTCACCAAAGCTCGCCCTCTCTTCCTCCTTCGCTCGGCAGCTTGTTGTGTCAGAGTCCTCGCTCCTCCCAAAGCTGCTCCGTGTGTCAGATTTGGCCCCCGGCTGCTGGCTTTGGCACATTTCATCTGGCACACAAACCTTTCACACGGGCTGTACAGTGACTGAAGGGGACTTTGGTGTGTGTGTGTGTTTCTTTGTTTGTGTGTTTGTTTGTTTGTGTGTGTGAGTGTGTGTGTGTGTGTGTATTTGGGGCAGCATTGACTAGCGAGGAGCTGTGTTTTGGTGAATAGCGGCAGCAAACCCCTTTTGGCCCTCTGGAGTTGACCCTCAGCGGTGTGAGATCAGATCCCCTGTCGTGTCCTCTCTGAGCTCCAGTCGGTGTGGAAGGAAGTGAATACTGTATCTCCTCAAACCAACCAAGGACCCAGCGAGCGGCATCGTGCTTCTTGGGACAGAGTGATTCAGACAGGAAGTGAGGCTGCACACCGGACACAAGGGGACAGGGCCGAGGGTTCTGTCTCCACCTCGCATCTATGAATGTACCCACTAGTGTGAACATCGCAATCGCAAAAAAAAAAAAAGAAATATATATTATGAAGTAAATGCATTATGTAAACACACTTAAGACAAAAAGCACGAGAGGGCAAGACATAGCGAATCAAAATCTGTTCATTGCTGAGATTTTTTAAATGTTTTTAATGATAGACATTTGTTGCTACGTCTACTTCTATTTAACAAATACTGGCTAAAAGGAATGGTGATAAGAAGTGGTAAGAAAATCTATAAAAACTTTTAAACTTTCAAAACAAAGACATCTAAAAAGAAACAACCAGAAATGTACTTGACAAGTTTTAAGTATCCTTTAAAGATTTCTGTGGGATTAGTGTTTTATGTTTAAGTTAATCACATTGCTTCCCTCCTCCAGATGTTTTTCTGTATGGATTCACAGGGACAATCTTCCGTGTGACTTAACAGCATCTGGCTCCACCAATAACACCCCCACACCCTAATTACAAAACACTAGCAGCGGGTAAGAGGACCCTGCTTTTTCTCCCCCCAGCACAGGCTCTGATTGGTGGAAGCAGATGTGGAGGGGAGTGTGATGTCATCAGTGTTTATCAGCCCACAGAGCACAGCTGCAGCTCATGCTGCAAGTAGCTTATTCAACAAAATAAAAGCTGTAAATTAAACACGCCCACACCCCGGGGTGTGAATGGAATCCATGCGGTAACATCTCTGATGACGTCACACCTACGTCACTCAGCCGTCCAATCAGACACACTTCCTGACCGTGACATAGTCATCACATCAGGATGTGCATCTGTTTACTTTTTGTTACTGTATAGTCACTTTGTTTATATAAAGATTGCTTGCTGTTGAGTGGTGAGAGGAGGGGGGGGGCTATGAACCTTTCACAGAAAAACGCACTCTGAAGTCTGCAAATGTTGTTTGTGTATATTTGTTTGTAAATACATATACACAAAACACTCCTGTACAAAAAACGCTCTGTGGTACACCATCTTTGGCAAAAAACGAACGAAAAAAAACCAACAAAAAAATCAACTTCTTTCATTAGCATACAGTTTTTTCCTATGAATTTATGGTAGTAGTGATACTGTGATTATGGATTTTGTTCACTTGATTAATAGGACTACACAGAGCTGAGTGGTGTTGAGGAAACGATCGGCAGAAGGAGCAATAGTCAGAGAAAAGAGGTTCCTCCCAACCAGCCTCTCGACTTCACACTACTGCAACAGCTCTGGCTCCAGAGTATACTAACTAGGGCTGGTTTAAAAAAAAATCTTCACAGTATGGTGACAAGATGATTTTAAGAGTAATTAAAGATTTTTTTATTTATCTAATTTATGGACCAGGTTTGAAGGTGTTGATAATTTGACTGCTTTTGATTCTGTCATGTTGAAGTGCTCCTTTTCTCATGGCGGAGCCTACTTGAGTCTGAACTGCTGTAAAAAACGAATGTCTGGTATAGTAAGGACTTTATCTCTGCTTTCTATTTCTCTTTGAGACATTTCCAGTTGTACTTGCCATCACATCTCCATCCATGATAATACTGTTTGGTTTTCTTTAGGAGCCCTCACATTTGATTTTTTTTAGTTCTTTTTTTTTTCTTCTGTTTTTTTTTAAGAAAAAAAAAGAAACTATGTATTTCCTCTTGGTTTATAGACGCAGCGCTGTAATGCATACCTAGAAAAATGTACAGTACGAACGTAGGTGGACTTTTTTATCAGTGATTGAAGACCCACGCGGTCCATGCTTGCTATTTGTAATTTAACACGAAAATTCTGTTGTTGGTTTTTGCATTGTTCATTTCCAGTTTTTTGAGGCTTGCTTTGATAGTGCCAGTGAAGTGCAGATATACTTTTTTGGTCTTTGACCTTTTCTACAGGTGACTTATCCTTCATCCTCATTAAGGGCTATCACAGTGCATCAGGCATCAGACAGCGGGGAGTGGAGTACACGACCACAGTGAACCCAAGTCATCCACTACTAATCCTTGTTTATAAATGGAGATTTACTTGCAGTATGTGCTATGAGAAGTATAGGCAGGGTGTTAAGGCAAACACAAGGTGTGTGTGTAGAGAGTTTACCAACACTAAGCAGTTTCCTTTATGTGTCTGGCCCTTGTGGTGAATTAAGTGGACCCAGTATGTCTCTCTGGCCTTCAAATACTACTTATTTGTTTGCATTGGTATCACAGTGTTACCTGTAATACCTCGTGCAGTATAGAAACACTTATCACTAAAGACACTACTACCAGAACAAGTATTGCATGTTTTCCCCAAGTATTTGACTTGAAGCTGATAGCCAAGTAATGACCATGCTTGTGGCTTTGCATGTTTTAACCCATTAACTACAATTTTCATACTTTGCTGTTGACCATTTCTCCAGCTTATACATTGATGTCCTACTTTACATGCAGCTATTGGTTTCTGTTCATGCCAGTAAGGTCTGAATTGTAACTTGCGGAGAGTTTAAACTTGATTCTGAGAGTTGATCCACAGCGCAGTAGATTTAGTTTTCATATTTTCATATATTGCATTATTGTGCCATAGTTACAGCGGTAATTAGTGAGCAAATTTCCCTTGTTATTGCAATCAAAGAAGCTCTGTAAACACTACATTTGAAAGCTGTGTTGTCATAAAATCAAACTAAGAAGACAAATGTGATGTCATGTGAAGGACAATGTAAATTTGGTCATTTCTTGGTGTGAGACCAGTGATTGCCGTGGCACTAAAAAACTGAATCAGAGAAACTTTGTAACTGAATGAATGTAACTGACAGAGGAAACACTAGATTTTACAATGACACTTAATATGGATTGGTTGTGTCTGATCAATATCGGTACAGATGAATGATCCGGCATGTCCAATCGGTGCACGCTTAAGATGAGTTTTCACCTAAAGCTAAACCTCCCAGTTGATTTTTCTTAGATGAACAGAAACCAAAGGCTGCCAAAAAAGATAGAGAATCAATCTAAAAACGGATGCTTCAAAAAATGGTTAGCAGCAATGTAAAGTTTGAACACTAAGTTAATGGGGCTAAAATATATATATTTTTGAATTGCCAGTGTGGTCCTTAACTGCCAATTTGTCTGCTGAAAGTGACACTAACCTTGTGAGCGTAAGCCGCAGACAGCCAACTGTTAGACTGCTGTCATAAAGAGGGTCTGGATGCCAGTATTTAAGTGGAACAGTATACCAGTATGGATACCCAAGTATTTATCAGTAGTTGTGTTAAGATTTACAGTGTGTTGAGTGCAGCTCACTTCCATGTCGTATTATTAGACTTGACACTACAACTCTGGCACACGGCGAAGAGGCCGACTGGCTGTCAGTGCGGGTTTGGTAGCGTGTAAGCAGCCCAGTGTTGCACAAGTGTGTGGTTTTTGACACGTTTTTAATCTCAACATATATGAGCTGGAAAGAGGGAAGGCAGTCTTGTATGAAAAACTTAAACCTCCTCCTCATTCTTTCATTCTTGTCCGTTTTCGAGCGATGACCAGTGGAAAGACTCGATTGGTTTTTCACTACAACACTTATTTATTGCCTTTCATTGCCTTGAATAATGAAAGATGGTGTTGCCGGCGCCCCTTTTTTCAGGTTTTCTGAGCATGCTTAGTGACCTTTTTTGGGTGGCCGTGGTTGCCCTTTCCTGTGGGCTTGTTGTCAGTCAGTGGAATCAAACTTATCTTTCGGACATCAGCGTAGAGTCGGTGCATATTCAAAACTTAAATCTTATTCCCTTTTTGGGTTTTTTTTTGTGTTTTTCATTTTCTGTATAAGAAAACATTACCAGAACACTATTATTTAGGACCACTTGATTTATTTTTTCCTCACTCCAATGAAACCTGAAGGTCAATTGTGTAGTGGTGTATAAAATGCTCTTTTTCTTTTCTTTATTTTGTATGTAAACCAAATGTAAATTATGTATTATACTGAGTGTGCCAACCCCACTCTCTCTAGAGCCAGGCTCTCTCTAAGTGCCAACGCTGTGGTCATCATCAAAGGACCACCACCTGAGATGGTCCCCCTTTTTAAATAAAACACACCGGAGACTAAAAGGATAGATGATTAAGTACACACAAAGACTTTATTCTGTATTTAAGATTGAAGATATAAAAGATAATCTGCTGTTTTTTAAGAAACTGTAATTATAATTGCATGTGCTGTTTATTTTGTGTTGGAAGTGAGGGCTTTGATGTTTTCATTGAAGCAGAGCCCTTGACGAAGGGGGTTCAATCAGTTGGTTATTATCGATTATTGATTTACATAACTCTTGCCATATTTTTTTATGTGTTTCATGTATTTGTTTCAACCACTGTTGCCTGATCCTCATTCAAACATGAACATGACTTATGATCATTGCCGCCTTCTAAGAGAGAAACATAATGACAAGGTATCTGTTTTAAATTGAAATAAATTTGTTCCTATACTTGCTCATGGTGTGCGTGTTGAGTGGTCTTGGTTATATTTTGTTTTGTTTTTTGTCATACTAGTATATTATGACAGCAGTTGAGCTGGCTAGAGGTCCAAACAAATCAAGCAGCCATTGGGGGCTGACAAATTTAAAATGTCAACTCTTTGTTCTGATTAGTTTTAATACCAAGCTAAAAAACAGAAAATGTGAAGTCTCCCAGCACCTGGCTGTCAGCTGGGGGGGAACTTTAGGGACATGTCACAGAAAAAAAGAAAGTTTTGGGGGATTGCATTAAATTTTGGGATTTGAAGCCACTCAAACAAGTAAAATTTCTGACTTTAATGCAAAAATGAGTGCGGGAGTCCTGCCACCAGAGAAATGCTACCTGGGGACATTACCAATGAGGGCCCAAGAACAACACATGAACTGCACCAGTTGTCACTGAGAGTGTCTTCGTCTATATAAACCAAAATGTAAGCAATCAGCAAATTCTGTAAGATTCTGTAGTAACAAAACATTATACATATAGGAGCTATAAAGTTTTTATTCATTTCTTGTTTTGTGCTTTCTCTGTAGTTCAGGTTAAATGTCATAAAATGTATTTAATTTGTTGCAATGCCTGAGCACTCCAGGTGTATGGTGTAGGTAGGATTAACCTGCTAGGGGGGGCCAGGGTGCAGGTTTTCCGTTGAGCTGCTATTGACTTCCCATCTCCCGTCTTGAGTCCAATGCATATTTATCCCGTACCCTCCAGGTTCCTGTTCAGTGTATTGCACAGCAGACTGCATGGGGCAGAAAAGCCACCAGTACTATTACACAAGAATCAGTTTGTGGTGACATAAACACAACTTTTTAGATTCCAGAGTAAAGTTGTGCAGTGTGTGAACATCAAGTAAAATAATTAATTTCTTTATTTAGCTGACGCTTTTATTAAAAGTGACTTACAATAAGTGCATTCAATCGCGTGGCTACAGGTCTTTAAACTAGATTTTGATAAAGGGCCGCAGTTTAATACATATCCACATCTTTAGTAGTATTTCTTTAGTTAACACAGAACTAAGTGATGCAAATTCCATAAAAAAATGTGCAGTTTATCAAATTACTAAAAGCAATTGATGCCAGGAGTGGATCTAGAGAAACATTCACAGGATGGCATGGAGACTGTGTGGCATAGATATATGCTGACATTAGTAAAGCATGGAAAAGAAATATCTAAAAGGGGCTGCCAGCCCTCTAGATCCAGCCCTGATTGATGCACAGTAAACCTGTGACTGTTGGGGCCCCTAGAGCCCTGGGTATTATCAGACTCAGCTGTAGTTTAGCAATATTTGGTTTCTCTCATAGGACAAGGGAACATTTCTCCCATCAACAGCAGGCATGGTTGCAGGTATTTTAATTTTTAAAACCTACTTGGAAATGAACCTGATTCTAATAATAATAATAGATAAATAAATAGAAAAATACACAAGTAAATAAAAATCGTATTGTCTATTTTTTTTTCTAACCTCTTAACTCTTTATTGGTAGAGCGGACAATGTCCAACACTGCTGCTAAATGGAATATCTTCAATTTCAGTTTTAATATGCGTTTAATGGCATGAACGTTAGAAACAACTGTTAACAAGTGTTAATAATTAGGAAACAACCAACACAATTCTGAAAAAATAAATAAACAACAAACACACACAAAAAATGATAATAATATATACTAATAATTAATATATATATATATATATATATATATATATATATATATATAATAAAGTAAACAGTCCATTAAGAATACATTTAATACAAAAATACAATAATACAATTCTATATCTTTCTGTTATTTTGTGTAATAGTACTGGGTACTATTGTCTGTTAGGCGTGTTTGCATGTTTATCATTAAAATAAAAAAAAGTGGTGAGTAAAAAAGTTATAATAAAACACACATATATGTTTTATTATAAAATAATATAATATAATATAAGACTGTGCTGTAGGGCCCCAGCAGCTGCGGCCCTGGCTGCCGGTGAGCGCTTCAGTTCAGCTCTGTGTCACACGGGGCGCCCGCTCCTCCGCTGCTCGGTTTGTTTTCCGGGTGATGCTGCTCTTCTCTTCAAAGCAGAGGAAAGTCGGGGGCTCATGTGTCAACATCCAGGGTTTCCCCGGGGAGGTGTAACGTTAACGTTATTCCAAAAAAAAAAAAAAAAAAAACCCCTGATGTTCCTTTGAAGAGCGTTTTTTCTTATTTTTCGGTTCTCCTCTTCAATCCGCGGAGGAAGAGGATTTCTCTCGCCGCGACGACCACAACACGATCTTCGGCTCCCGCTGCTTTGACGCTAGCTAACGTTATTTTAAACGATGACAGAGTACAAAGTGCGAATAGCGTCTCCGATCATTTAATAATATCTGGGGACCTGTTAGCTTAGCCAGCTAGCCTGGTAATTCGATTAGAACAAGGAAACACGGCGACACACACTGCTGACATGATGTTTCCTCAATCAAGGCACTCGGTAAGTTGGCTAGTTGAACTTGTCCCGGTAGGAAACCGAGCAACTGAAGCGAGCTGAGCTAACGCTAAGCTAGCGACCGACCGACCGACAGCTGATACTACTAGCTCCGCTTTGCTGCAGGTTGCTGTCAGCTTGTCTCACAATGCCGGACCCCGCTCCCTTCGTCTCCTCACGACGGTTTAGACCGTTATGTTTGGGCAGAAACGAGCAGATTAAAGCTGGGAATAAATGTAATAAATGTTAAAATACCAGCCACAGCGCTCGCTCGCCGGCTGCTAACGCTTTCTGTCGCTAGCTAGCTGTTTAGTCATAACAGCTAATTTTTTTTTTTTTTAAGTTGGTGGTTGAGTCTGTGAGAAGGAAGTTGCTGCGTTATTCTGCGTTGTTTGGGCTTAATTCACTGTTTCTACTGTCAACACAACACAATGTGTAAATATAAGGGTTAAGCCACAGCAAATGCATGTGGCAGCAGTTGACTTTAGACAAAGCCATCTGGGCACATGGTGGGAAAAGATTTTTATCTCTCCAGTGATTTTTATTTTTTTATATTAGGATTGGAAATACTGCTGCAAATATTTATGTTAGCAGCTATAAACTAGCACCGTGACACAGCATTATAAACAGGTGAATTTAAAGCAAAAAATTCAACTTCTTATGACTGCTTGCCAGTGCCAGAAAACTGCAAGTAAATCATGCAATATGTTAATTATAGCAGTCTGAAATTAACGACCAACTCATGGAAGAATAATTGGGTTTAGTATTCTTTGTCCACAGCCAACAAGTGAAGAAAGGGAGCCTTTCAAACAGTAGCTAAGGGAGGAAAGAGGTACACACAAAAATTAGACACAAACTGGGCCTTCAACAACAGTTTGTATGCTAATGAGTATGTTCATACTTTGTAAAAAAATGTATAGGAGTGAAACAATTATGGCTGCAACTAATGATTATATTATGATTTTTTTTATAAAACAAAGTACAAGGACACGTCTTGTGAAATCTTGAAACAAAGAAAAGCACGTTGGAGAAGCTGGAAACCAAAGAGTGTTTGACATTTTTACCTAGAAATAGTGTTAAATTATTGTTCTCAAAATAGTTGCAGACTTAATTTCTTGTTGCTGGACTAATTAATTAATCAATAATAATCATTGCAGCTCTAGAAACAATCATTTAGTGGATAGACACAAGATTAATCTGCAACTATTCTGATAATGGATTAATCAGTTTAGTCAATTTGAAAGCAATAAATGCAAAAAAACTGATTCCAACTTCTCCAATGTTAATATATGCTGGTTTTCTTAGTCCTCCATGATAGTAAACTGCCACAAAACACGAAATATCTCGACGTATGTGCTGAGACATTAGCATCTCTCTGTTTTCTAACTAATCTCTGATATTTTATTAATTGAGGAAATAAGCTGCAGATTAATCTATAATGAAAATAATCATTGGTTGCGGCCCTATTCTTATTTTAATATGTTTAATATAACAATATATAGGGATGGGAATTAATCAGATTTTACTGATACCAGTAGCCGTATCGATTCTGCTTATCAGGCAGAGTCTCTGTTGATTCCCTTTATTGATTCATAATATATTCTGTTTTTCATCGTCAACGCGATGGTTTTATTATCTCTGAGTCTGACCACAGTGTAGAAAAAGAGTAGAGTTATAGTAGTTTGAGTTTCTTTGCAAAATGAAGCCACGGTTTCTTCCTGTCCACTGTGCCTCTTGTTGCAGCAGCGTAGACGCATTAGTTTGACATAATAGTTTTGTAATGCACAAAACATGCTGGCATTGATAAAAGGAATATTTAAGTTTGGTGGCATAAGATTCAGATTGAATAATTTGGAACCAGTTCTTGATTCCCATCCCCCGCAATGTAAGACCAACTAATGGCAGACATGCTGTATTAAGCAAAAAAAAAACAAAACAGGAAATGACCCTTTACAAGACCACAGGTGAGGGAAGCGAAGCACAGGCATGAAGAAAATAACATGCATACCATTTAGAAAAGAGCACATGTATATTCCTGTTGGTCAGTTTCAGCATGTGACTGCTGTTCCTCTTTTAGAGACTGTATCAAAGATCTTCCTAAAGAAGCACTATGAGGCCACAAGCAACATTGGGCCAGTTTTAAACTGTTGGAGGCATTTTATAGGAGTTATTTACACATAGTTTACATACCTTATGTATTTCTGGAGGGCTGTGACTGACAATCAATGTAATTGTTGATCAATTTGTTATTTATTTAAGTCAGTGTTTCGATTAATCGAGTAATCTCTTAGTCTAAAAAAAAAAAAGGTTATAAAAGTGACCTTTAAACCCCAAAGATATTGATTTACAATGATGTACAAAAGAAAAATACAATTATGAGTAGGAAAAGGTGAATATTTAGCAGTTTGTTCTTGATAAATGGATTGAAAGATTAATTGATTGTCCAAATTGTCAATGTTGTTGATTGACCAGTTAATCGACTAATGATTTCAGCTGTGACTAGTGGCTGTTTTTTTTTTTTTCAATCAACTTAAACCGACTATCATTTAATTGTCTAATATCTAAAATGTTAGTAATGAAACATTTCCCAGAGCCCAAAGTAACGGCAGTAGTTATGAATTTTTTGCTTGCTAAATATCTGAAACAGTGTTAAGATTCCCTAAATTTACTGTCATTAAAGTAATCAATGCAATCGACTATGCGCCATGCATTTTGAATGGAGAGCGTCAACTTGGCGTGTAACCGGGTGCCTCCATCCTCTCTGTTCAGTCTCATAATCCCACTGGAAACCGCTTGCCCTTGTGCCACTTATTTAGAGAGTAATGAGGTTTAGGGCATTAGTTAAACCCTGGATTACAGCTTTGGACTCATGGTTTAAGTGTAGTCTATACATATTCAGACTTCTAATGCAGCCTCTAAATACCTCTCACATATGGTCAGCATGGGCACACTTTAATCTTGCTGTCTGTAAACACATTTCCTCAATCAACACACACTCTGTGTCCTGAAAGAGTTGAGCCGGCGGTTTACTAAAGACGGATGTTGCATATCAGGTTGTCAGTGCCACAACATACTGTCTCCTTTTTTTTTTTTTTAATATAATTTTATACTGTGCACTCACACTCAGACATGGAGCCCAATGTAGCCTGGCCTTCATTTTAGCTATCCTCTCAAAGGGTTAATCCCAGAGGTCAAACTACTGTTTCTAAACAAACCCAAGCGCGCATTCAAGGAAAGATGTTTCAGCAGCAGCACACAGACATGTACAGAGATGATATATTTTCTTGTTTGGATGCAGGGCTCTTTGTGAATGTAATTTAGCCCTCTGTGTGAAAAAACTGATCGTGTTATTGTGTTTTCCAGGCGTCCTCTCAGTCCGGTCAAGCTCTTAAGTTCACCACTTCTGACTCCTGTGACCGCATCAAGGATGAGTTCCAGTTCCTCCAAGCACAGTACCACAGGTATGCGGCACACAACCATACACACACTTTGAACATTTTCCCATAGTTTATTCTTGTAGATAATGAAATTGACGCTGTGGGGCTTTTCTGCATATTTAGAAATCCATATATTGAGTGCTTTAAGTTCAATTTTTGTTACTTTTCTGGAGTATGACGCTTAATACAGCTGCCTAGTTAGCATGCCAACTGCTTTAACATAGATATGTTTTAAAATTTAGTACTTTTAACACCTGTATTTGCACCAAGCCTCTTTACAATTAGGAGGCACAGCATATTTAAACAGTTTGGCATTTTGGGAAATAGAGTCATTTGCTTCTTTGATCAGAGGTAGATGAGAGGATTAGAGCCTCTGCCACCGATATTGGCCTATGGCTGACATGTCAGTATCATATTCGTTACGTTATCCGATATGCACTGATATGAAAACAGTTGTTTTTTTTTGCAGTGAATAATGCAGATTTAAATACTTGTGGTGATATATTGGTGTCACTGCAAAATGTATCCAGCAGAGTGCACTGCGTTTTACAATACTGTGGCAAACAGCAGCTCTTAGCCGTGTCAAATAGCATTGGTTGACAATGTATATGTCTGATTATCTAACAGGTTATTTAACTTAAATATTCTTTAAAGTTATTTATTTAAGAAAGTGGTCTTCTGAGTACCTTTGTATTGTCATATCGGTGCACAATCCACACAGAAAAGGTCTGTTTTCGTTCCAGCTTAAAAATTCACTATAATGGCCGCCGTATCCTAGACATGAGAGTAATACCACTCTCATGTCTATACTAACTATGAAGCTTGAGCCTGCAGGTGATCATCTTAGCTTAGTATAAAGATGACAAGTTGTGGGATAAACCTACTAACCTTTATTGTTAACATTTCTATTCCTTCTATACAGTTTGAAGCTGGAGTGTGATAAACTGGCCTCTGAAAAGTCAGAGATGCAGCGTCACTATATCATGGTAAGTGTTGCTTTAACTTGTGTCAGTGAGATGTGCCTGTTTATCTGATCTCCTGTAACATACCAACCAAAATCACTTAGGGTTGCAGTATAAGCGTAGAAATTCCAGCACACACCAGGAATGTCAAGATCATCTCCATCCATCATTAATTCGTACATAATCACTAATTTGCAAGCGAACACACGCTTTGTGTGTTGGTGGTTTCCTCGTGTTCACTTATCACATGATCAGCAATAGATCCATGCTTTAAAGCTTCTCTGATAGCCAGTGATCAATTACAGATCACAGGACAAAAACATCTACATTTCTAAATATGTAATTCCCATATATAAGTATGTATAACAAAGTATACTCTGATTCTGATCTAAAATTATATGTGTATGATTTCCTCTTACTGTAGAGGCCAGACATTGTATATTGTATATAAAAAGATTCTTAGTTTGTGTATGTCTGTGTATGAAAATTCATACACAGACTGTCGGTAGCTTCAGTTTATGATAATGTTTGTCCATTTCTCCCTCTTCTCCTACAGTACTATGAAATGTCCTACGGGCTGAACATTGAAATGCACAAACAGGTAATTACTGTCTCTTAAAGTGAATCCCTCTCTTAGTTGACCAGATCTAGTGTGCTAGTCTGAACTGTTTTTTTCTCTCCTTTCTTTTTGTCTTTTCAGGCTGAAATAGTGAAGAGACTGAATGGGATCTGTGCTCAGGTGCTGCCTTACCTGTCACAAGAGGTAACGACAATCACATTTTTATGAATATGTTTAAAATCTGACTGACTTTTCTACATATATTGTCTAACTTCCTCACTTGTCCTCTCTTTCCACCCATAATGCACTTAGATCACTTGTCAAGCTGACCATTTGTTGTCTTTGTTTCAGCATCAACAGCAAGTCATGGGCGCCATAGAGAGAGCCAAGCAAGTCACGCCCCCTGAGATGAACTCCATCATACGGGTGAGCTTAAGAAACGAGTAAAAGCTTTGCTCCCTGAAGGTGGGGTTAGATGAAATAAAACAAAATCAAACCTTATAAAAAACAATTATTGTCATTTTTTTATTCATCAAGGTACAATGACTCTTCATGTATTAAGTAGATCTTTTTATCATTTTAACAACATATGACAGCTTCTTGTTTTTAAAAATGAAAAATGTTTCAATTTAGATAAGTTAATTTTGTGTAATAAGAATGTTTCCTAATGAAACAAATAAAGAATACGGCCCTTGAATAATTGGTGTGAATGAGCGGACAGTTAACAAGCTAGCTAGCATGGATAGCTATTATGACTGTGTAGCAGGTTGCATATGCCAGGTTGGCTGCCTAGCATATTAACGGTTAGCTCGGCAGCTACAATAGCTCACCGACTAACCTTGGAAGTAGTTACTACTTCATCTTCTAGCACCAGCTATTTTAAGAATAATATATGGAAAAAATGTGCATCAAGTAAGAACGTTTTGCTGCATTATTAGACACTGATGGATCATCTGCTTTTGATACTTCCAACTAATAAAATCACAGCGTCCGTACCATATGTGTCTTCAGCAACAGCTCCAGGTGCAACACCTGTCCCAGCTCCAGGGCCTGGCCCTGCCTGTGACCCCGCTGCCCCTGGGCCTCACCCCTCCGACCCTGCCCGCTGTTTCCACCAGCTCCGGCCTGCTCTCCCTGTCCTCCATCCTGGCCAACTACTCCCATGGCCAGGCCCAGGCGGTGAAGGAGGACAAGGCCCGGGAGGCCGCAGAGAGGGCGCCCCGAGGAGACGACGGGGACAAGTCAGACTAGTGCAGACGCAACAAGAAGGTTCGGATGGGGGCGGGGGGGTTGTGAAGTGTCGAAGGAGAAAGGTAAAACTGTAACTGTAAATGGAGATTGATGTAAGTCTGGCTGCCTGTCTGCTGAGTGTTGATGTAGAAGAGTAACTGCAGGGATGATGACAAGCAGAGAGGACAGAGTTGAAACTTTTGGATGTGCAGAGAACGAAACTGCTGAATGGCTGAGAGTGAGAGTTAAATGTTCTTATTATTTAGTGGTAATAGACTCAGTTCAGGCTTCTAGACTTTAAATAGATGCTTTTTTTAGTGTAAGCCACTGTTGTTAGGCTTAACCAAGATAAATGTTTTCCCATTTGGAGTGAGAGCTGAGGATGAAAAGCTAACAGCAGTGTCCCTTACATGGATCTGCCTCTCACAGGTTTATATTTCTTAATTTTTTTTTTTTTTTAATCAGATCAGTTTTCACTGTTTTTTTTTTTTTTTTTTTTGTTCATGTCCTCCTTAGTCCCTCTGATGGTTTCTTACAGGCTTTAACAACATCTCAGTTCCCTCTAACTCCTTTCCTTCCGCTCATAACTTACAGTAGCTCCGTCACCTTTTTCCAAAATGGAAGATGTTGACTAGACAGTGATAGCATTCATTTATGTACTTGGAGCCAAATCAAATCTTAGTCTGATGTTAAATGGGATGTTTTTAAAGGGACATTTCACTTGTCAGGTGCATTTAAACCCTTCAAACATAAACCATGCGACTTTTCACCGTTTTCTTTCCTTCATACAACCAACCACTGGACGCGTTACCTTAGCTGTGTACCTCAGTCCCGAATAAATGGGATTATATTACATTTAAAAAACCTATAGTTTGTACAAATGGTAGAATACCCATCTTGCGGAGGGGGGGGGTGTTAATTTGTGTTTCATAGGCCTAGCTGCTGCTGCTACGCGCGCTACATGGCATGGACCATGACTCGTCTTTCAATGACAAGAATTTAAGCTCTGAAAAAAATTGACTTTATTTTGACATGTTGTTTTCGTGACGTTAAAGACAGGCTAATTAGAAATTCAAAATGTGTCTGTGTGTGCTCGAGTGAATGTGGTCGGAGAGAAGAAAACACTTGTTTAATTTAACTTTATTTTTTTTCTTAAAGCACCTTTTTGTATTTTTCTCACACGCCCTGCTCCTGCCCCTTTCTCATACTGGTCCGCTCGTTAACTGAACAAGACAAACTTAAACGGGATCTAATCTTCAGAACCAGACAGTTGTAAAAGACATACATGTACTGTATTTCTGTAAGTTAGCACACTTCAGTTTATACTGAGACTGTATCAAGCACCTGTCTTTTCCTGTCTTGTTTAACTTGTGTGCGATTGTTTGGGGAAAGGCTTCCCCCTTTTTTTAATTTTCACATTGTTTTGATGAAGAATGTGTCCTGGGTGAGTTGCTAAAGCTCTGTAAGCAACATCAAACAAGCATTCCCTCAGAAAACAACAGGTTTAAACACGATTCTCTGGCCAAATTAACTGTTAACTGTTGCAAAAAAACTCACTTCTCTAAAACAAAACAACCCACTTTAATTATTTGAATTACTAAAACACCAAACTAGTGTAAACACACTACATAAAACCTTTTTTGAATTTGCATGTAGTATAAATTTCAAACCCACAAAAGGTGTCAGAAAACATCATCAGAAGCGCTTCTTCGTGCTTCTCCACCCTCACTTTTCAAATGTAATTGGAGACATTTTCTGAAACCAGCCATCAGACATTCATACATCAAATTACTAATAAACCCATCAATTAATCAATTGGCCATGTAAGCTGTGATTTTTTTTTTTTTCGCTTATCACTTTTAACATAGAGCAAATGAGTGTGGACATCTTCCAGCAGTGACTGTCTGAAAAGTGTGCACCGTAATCCCCATATTTAAAGGATTTTTGCCATAGCTCAGCAAGTAAACCCCGTCCTCCGCTCTCTATGACGGTCGACTCTTCACCCCACTTAAAGTACAACCATTTGAAACCGCTATAGACACTTTTGCCGTGTGCCATGGTCGAATGACGCATCGTACAAATTAGTTATTTTCATAACCCGGCTCTTTGACTAAGCAGGCGTTGTAACAAAGTGATCATGTAAAGTATGCTCAAAACAGTCTGAAAAACCCTTAAAATTTTTGAGTATGCTGTTGACTGATTCTATTGTCCCACAATGCAATGCGCAAAGGAAATGGAGAAGCTGCTGCAGACAGCTAGAAAATGTTTTAACTCAAGGTAGATGGTGGTGAAACAGCTCCAGGAACAGCAATTATTGGAAAAAAAATGTTGATGTCCTTTTTAAATTTGGCTGTCTGCCTCCAATGACCTCCAGTGGAGCGACGTGTGTCATTAGTATAAAGTATAAAACTGTTAAGTGTGTTTTCTTTTATACTACCTGCAACAACAATATACTAGACTGCTTGGTTTATTGTTCATATTGCAAGTGCTTAGTATGGAATTGGGACACAGCTGAGGTGTGTGGTTGAGAAATAGGAACGTTCATATTTGAGGCAGCAGAGGGCAGCAGTGCTCACTCAGTTCAGGTCAGTGTGCTGTGTTCACCTTACTGTGACCGCCATTCTCTTCTCGCTTCATTTCCTGACTGCGGGCCGAGCATCTGCAGCCTGCTGGTGTTCACAGTGATTCCCCTGTAATGTGAGTGCTACCCAGAGCTTTGACAACCCACCTTAAACGTCTGAGCATGTCTGAGATCGGAGCTTTTTTCCTCTGTATTTTAATTTGAAAAGCACTTAAGTTGCGGCTCAGTGCTCCTTCTTTCTATTTTTTTTTTTCTTCCTTTCTTCTTCTTCTTGTCTGTGCTAGTGTTGGGGAGCTGAAGATTTTCCCTCCCTGGAGATTTGACCTTAATATACTGAGTGTCATTTGCACTCTTTATGCTGACGTCAGTCTCTGTAGAAAACCTCCTTTGGCAAAACTCAGACATATGAATGGTATGTGTGTTTGTTTTTTGCTGTGAAGGGCCAATTTGTATACATATGAATATATCAATATACATATTTTTTAAAGCATTTTTGTATGTTTCAAAGCTGCTTTTTAATGTGTGTGTATCATGAAAGATTTGGTGTTGTATGTGTGCATTACAAGCCTACAGTTAAGAGAGGCACAATGTTGTATACCATGTTGTTTTTCCTGTTTTTTCTCCCATTCTCTCAGTAGGCAGTAACACTTAACATTGTTTTCTAGGTTTGTAAATGTTCTGATCTTTTTTTTTTTTTTTTTTTTTGTGCAAACAAAAACCAGTTTAATGTGTTTATAAACACAGTCTCATTCTAAGATACCTGGGGCAAAAAAACCAACAAAAAAAACAACAAAGATGTAAACAAGCAACTGTGTACTCTAATGAGAATGAATCAACCTTTTAGCAGTAAGGAAGCTTCTCTGGTGCCTTACAAATAAAAGATGTGATTGAGAATGGTCATTTGTGTTTGGTTGGTAACTGTCTTTGTGAGGGGGGAAGAGAGAGACTGAAGGACAATAATGCAACAATAAAGGGCATCAAAATCATTTGCACATTGAGGCTGAAATGTAACTTTTGTGAGCCTGATAAAAGAAAAAGTCTGTTAGTCAACTCCTCTGCAGCTCGATGAAATCATTTGCGGTATGAGGTTTAGTAATCCTAGCTGACTCAGCTACAAGTTGCGTTTTTAGGGATGAATCTGATTATAGTGACATGCATGAGTCTGTAACTAAAAAAATGAAGCGTTACATAATTCCCTTTGGATCAGTGAATGAGTAAGCAGGAAACTATCTGTGTGATTTAAGGAGGACATTAAAAGTTTGGCTATTGCTCTCATCAGGTGTTTTATATTAATGATGTATCAGATGGACTGTGTGTCATGTGAAAGGAGAAGAATTACCACAGAGGATTATCACCTGCTGCATTTCCCCTCAGTTCTGCACAGTCATTGTTTTGGTTCACTCTCGCAGGTCTCATCAACCTTGCCTCCAGGTAAAAACAGACTGTACGCTAGAGCCCTGCACAGGACTGTTGTATTAATCCTGTTCCTGGTGGGTACTGTTCCTTCTAGGGGTTGCAACTAACTCTCAGGACCTGCAGTTTAAAGTCACAGCAAAGTCAAAACCGCCCCCCAAACTGATCCTGATTCAGTCCTCTACGATGAACTGCTAGGCACCGAACAGCAGATGAAGTTAGCGACTAGCTGGGGAACACAGTGGAACATTTAGCAGATAAAGAAGATATACTTTATTGATCCCCCAGGGGAAATTGTTCTTTTCACTCTTCTTTTTTTTTTTTTTAATACACACACACAGGCCGAAATACACACTTCATGCACTTGTGGACATGCAAAGGGGAGAGAGATGGTGGAGTGATGGGGCTGCAACGTTACCGGCGCCCCATGAGCAGGTTTTGGGGTTTAGGTTGCCTTGTTCAAGGGCACTTCGGCCAGTGAAACTGGCACCTCTTCAGCTACCAGTCCACACTCCATATTTTGTGGTATGTGGGACTTGAACTGGCGACCCTTTTGGTGAAGTTGGTGAAGACCCAAAACAGACCTAAAAGAAAGTAATGGATGTGTACACAAACAACTGTTTGCTAACAAGTTTGCAGTATCCGTTTTATAAGGTGATTGTTGTGTTACAGCTTGTTGAAAGAACAGAAAAAAACATAATACAGGTTTAAAGATAATAAAAGACAGTATTTTACCATGCCAGAATAGTCAAGGGTGAATAGAGTTTTGTGTGTGGTGCTCACAGAATTGAAACATTAAATTATGAAACTTGATCAGCTGTGTCCTTTCAGTGTCCTTGTTAGTCATGGTAATCCCCAGAACATGTGAACAGTTTTAATGGGGATTTCTCTGGTAGAAAGTAAATGAAAACTACCCACAGTGAGGTGCAGTGCCAGACCAATACTAGGTTTCTGTGCCGATACTGAGTTACAAAAATCTGACAGCACATAGGCCAATATTCTTTTTTTTTTTTTTTTTTTTTTTTTAAATAAACAAAAATGACTATACTATTTCTTAACCAAAACACAATTTGCATTTCTGTACAGAAATGTCTTGTTACCTGTTGGATGATGCACTGTATGGCCGAGAGTGATGTAATATCGTTCTAGGTGAGTTTATTATATTTGCGCAACCGGGCACTTTCTTTGGTAAAGTGTGTAGAAAGTTAATTCACCTCCATTGTATTAGTGGGGAGGAGGATTTCCTCAAAACCTGGGCAAATCACAGCAAAACTATTTACATAACAAAAGTCTATTAGGCGTACATATGGTGTTGTTTTGTAATATGGGTGAACTGACCCTTTTAAAAGCAGATCTTAATCATATCTGTGTTGACAGAAATAAATATCACTGATCCAGGCGAGGAGATAACTTTGTTGATAACATACCCCCTCGTATGAAGCCTGACTGCCCCATTCCTTTGGTACAGAGGAATCCCATTACCGTCAGCATCAGGTTCAGACATGAACCCTGCGTCAGTGTGTAATGCACCGTTTCCAAAAAGAACACAGCAGAGAAATGGCTCAGTGAAAACAAAAAAACCCCCAAATACTCTGTTGCTTCACCACAAAATCCTCTCTTTTTTTCCCCTTGCTGTCGAAGTAAGCTCTTATAGACGACATACTGGCTAATATTTATGGAGAAAACTACACAGAAAAACCAACAGGTTGAAAGAAATGATTACATTTTGTGCAGCTTCACAACTTGTTACACATGGTTATAAAGAGGGAAAAAAGGACGTCAATGAAGGTATATTAAGTTCCAGCAGTGCTTGAGGTACAAGGAAACTGGAAAAAAATGGCTCCATATGTCTTTTGCCATCCATTTAGGTGAAGTTTGTCTAGGAGAAGAAAAAAAAAAACCCAGAACAATGTTGCCAGCTCAAAAAGTCCCACTGTTACGTCACAGCCAAGTAGTGGTG